CCGGCCGCCGGGACTCCCGCGAGGGCGTGTCCACGGGGCCGCCCCGCCCGCCGCGCTCGCCCGTGGCACCTGCACGCGGCCGTTGGCGAGGGGAAGTGAGAGTCCACGCGGCCGGCGCCCCCACGCGCCCTGCTCCTCGTGGAGAGGAGGCCGGGCCCGACCGCGTGCATCCCGCTCAGGGTGGGAACAGCCCTGATCCCGAAAGGCCACCCCAGAGCAGCCGAGGGGGCGAGAAGTTGGGGGAGGGGCGAGAAGTTGGGGGAGGGGCGAGAAGTTGGGGGAGGAGGCGAAAGAGGGGCCGAGGTGGGGCTGACCCATCTCCGCGAACTGCGGTGGAGCGGGCACACTGCCCCAGCTGTGCCAGCCACCTCCTCATCCCCTGGGGATTGTCCCTTATCTGTTGCGCCCGCCCGCAGGAAGGGGAAGGCAGGACACCTGGCCCTGGGGCTTGGTGTCACCCTTGAGCACCCTCCTGTGACCCTTCCGTAATTCCTTGGATCTGCTCTTCTGGCAGCACCCGTAAGTCTTTTGTAGTCATCTGATAAACGGTAGTACTCAAGCGGCGTTATCGGCGTTATCGTTAGGCTAACCTCGATACACATATTGTTACACTGCGCCCTCACAACAGCCCTTTAGGTCACATTTATCGCCCTGTGCAGCCCCATTGTTGCTCAGATTTGCACAGAGAATAAATAAATGCTCCTGTGGGTTCCCTCTGAGCCTGTTGATTCCAGAGCTACAATTCTCCCTTGCCTGCTCCTGCCACTGATCTGAGTATCACATGGTTATGGAGTCCTCTACAATCCAGGGTCCAGAGGATGGACCCAGAATGCAGAGATGAGGTACTTCAGCACTCAAGTCTAGGTCCCAATAAACGGAATGGATTTAATAGTGGAAACAGCCAGAAAGGGCCTGTATTCCTCGTCTACCGTTGCTACGTATTGCCACAGATCTTCTATTGACATGACAAATTTAGAGGCTTAAAACAACACAAATGATTACCTTACAGTTCGATAGCTCAGCAGTGAAACACGAATCTTACTGGACTTACGTCAAAGATCACCCTAGAAGAGCGTCTTGGGGTTCCTTTCTGTCATGTAGAAGAGCATTCATTTCCTTTGTATTTTCAACTTCTAAAAGCTGCTCAGCTTCTTGGGTGTGGTCAGCTCCCTCCATCTTCAAAGCCAGCAACATAGCTGTCTGACCCTGCTTCTCTCCCATTTCTTCCTCAAGCACTGCTGTTCATCCCTAGGGAACTGTATGAATGAGCAGCTCTTTTTCTTGAAGCCTGGCCTTCAGTAACACACTCCAGCCACGACTGTCTTCTGCATTGACCTGGCCAGAGCTGAGCTCTGTCTGACTACCCACAGTATTCCTACCCATCGCTAGCAATAATAGCTCCACCTCCAAAGAAGTACTCGGAACTGCTATGAGGACTGATCCGGTTACTTTGAGCTGAAGAGGGTTGCAGTTGTGATCAGCAGTCAGGGCTGCTCCACGGAGGGTCTATCTAAAGGCCCCCGACAGGCACCAGGCGGTCCTGTCTTGGGTTGATGCACAGCTTTAAGTCTGGAGGAGACAAGGGATAAAACAATTAAGTATGCAGGGGCCAAAGAATCAAATCAACAGGATAATTATGAAAATAGCCAACAAAGTTTTCCACCAGGAGGAGCCACTAATAGCTTTCCATAGAGAGGAGAAGCAGCTCCAAGGAACTTGAGAATCTGCCATGTCATCAACCTGTCATGTAATCAGACTTAGATCTTAATAACAATTAAATCAGCAAACTTGATCTAATCTACATGCTCCTGCACTTAAACTGAGACTAGATCAATGGAATGCTTACAGAACTTTGAACTCAAGTCCTAGAATCTTTTTGATTACCATGTATTAACTACAGATATTAATGGGATAGTATGCTATTTCAGTACGTGGATATAGTGTGCACCAACCAAATTCAGATACCCTTTATCCATCCTCCCCTACCCCCAACCTGAATAACCTCTAGTACACTTTTAATACTTCCACATATGAGAGACAGCATGGGATATTTGTCCTTCTGTATCTGTCTTACTTCCCTTAACATAGTATCTTCCAGTTCTCTCCAAATGACAGAACTGCATTCTGCTTTATGGCTGAATAATAGTCCCGTCACACTTTCTTTATCCAGGCATCCACTGACAGGCACCGAGGCTTGACTCCACAGTTCAGGCTACTGTGAACAGCAGCGCAACAAGCACGGGCATGTGGGTCTTTCTTTGATATTCTGACTTCACTTCCTTTGAATATATAAGTAAGAAAGGGGAAAAGAAAAATATATGTATGCACAAGATGGTTAAGATAGTTATGTACTAGTTTCTCCTAGTTCATTAAAAAGAAAGCTTTGTGTTAATATCGTATAGACAAGAGAGCATGCCTAATCTACTCTGGGAAACTACCACTAAGACAGCAATACATGATTTATCGGCTATTGTAACTGTCCTAATTAATATCCTGTTTTGAAACTTGGTTTCATTGTTGTGTTTACCTTTTTTAAGAAGGAAAGAAAAACTATGATGGAGGAACAGAGAAAAGAAGGAAGAGAAATATATGTGTGTGTGTGTGTATATATATATGCATGTATACATACAAGATAGCTAAGATAATTATACTAATTTCTGTTAGTGTGTTGGAAGAAACAGCTAATGTTTAATTATTTCCCAATCTTGCATACCTATATCTGGTAATCTGAGCAACTACTTTGGAGATAACAATATATAATATAACAACTATTGTTAATTTCCTATCATCTTGTTTTGAAATTCTGTATCATTTTTATTGTTTTTGTTTTGTCTTTGTGTTTGTTTTTGTCTTTACAATAATTTTTTTTTCCATCTTGATATCTATGGTTGTCGGCTCTCAGGAGAGGACCTTTACTTTTATTTAATAGGAATCCTACTAGAACCTTTAAAGAGGCTTCAGTGGCATTGTTAGAAAAAAATTCTCTTATGCCCAGAATCATTAAAAGTATAGTTTACAGGCCACTCAGCCGCCTTCATATGGTGGGCTAAAGTATGAACCATTGAACTCTTTCATAACTTGTCAACATAGTCTTGTAGTTTGCTTTAATCATCTCCCTGGAGCACGGATACCCACCAAGGAAGTCCCGATGTATATGACAAGGACAGCAGGTCACACACCCAGCAGGACGCTTGTTGCAGCAATTCTGCATATTCTTATGCCCACCTTAGAAGGAACTGCATTCTGCCTTACGTGGTAAAGTGGTTAGCAAAAGGGCTACAAGTAACAGCTTAGATTACTTATCTAAAGGTTTTTTCCTTGAACAAGAACCTTAAGTCTTCTATGGTTCTAAGGAGTATTCTGATTATGGCTGGTCACACTCAGTGATGGCTTCCAGTTCCCAGGACTTGAGTTGGGTGTGACGTGTCCAGGACTCCAGGCCTGCTGCCTCGACAGCTGGTGGGGTTGACAGGATCATGGTGTGTGGTCCTTCCCAAATTCGTCCTTTGGAAAGAGATGATTAGGGAAGAGACTTTATCAGTATTAAGTCCCCAGAGTGGAATACAGAATTTATGGAATTTCTCTTTTCTTTTCTTTTCTTTCTTTCTTTCTTTCTTTCTTTCTTTCTTTCTTTCTTTCCTTTTTTCTTTTCTTTTTTTTTTTTTTCCTGTCTTTTTGAGATAGGATCTCACTATGTAGTTCACTTTGTAGCCCAGGCTGGTCTTGAACATGCAGCAATCCTCCTGCCTCAGCCTCTCCTGAGTGCTGGGATTGCAAGCATGCACCACCATGCCCAGCAATTTCTCTTTTTCTTAGGCCAAGCTTCTGTTAGCTGTTGAAGAGTTTGTTGGAATTTAGCCAATTTAGCGATATCCTTCAGTAAGGCATCTGTGTCTCTATTGAAGAAAAATTTTTAGTGAGAAAAGAGCATCTATTATGCATTTCAGATGAATGTGGGCCTGGACTTTGAGTTGTGTTTCTTATTTTGATGTGAGCTACAGTAGTGGGTGAGGCTGCTGTAGTCATTTTGTGAAGCTGTCTCTGTAGGGTCTTATTAATTTTTCTACATGCTGATGATTGTGGCCACTATGCCAGGGGAGGTGATTTAAAATGCCCAGTGCTCAGAGATGCCTCAGTGACTACTGCTTTCAAGGAAGATCCATTACCGCTCTGTAAGCTCTCAGGAAGTCCAAATCTAGGGATGATTTCTGAGACTAAAACGTTTTTCCCCCCCATAATTTTATTGAGAAACAAATAGCAATGAGACAGTTTCAAACCAAATTGGTAGGACAGTTTCATGAGACTAAAACTTTTACCACCTCTCGTAACTTTTCTGTTCTATAAAGAAAGGCTTCAATCCAG